AGAATCGAATTTTGTTTGATACTACCCTGATAAATTGTCGCTTCACATGCTCTGATGATCCTAACGGACATATTCCAATTTTGAAAGTTATTGGTGAACAGTCTGTGCCGTTAACTAGTCATTGTCTCTTTGTTATTTGTGGTGTGCATGTAAGTGACAGCAACCAAAACTAATCACTATTCATAATCTCTTAGTCTTGAGATTCTAGGATTCTCATCATTTGTCAGTGGGGCGAACCACTTTGAGATATGAAGTTGTTATGATAGTCTGCAGAGTTGTGACATTTTGTCTCTGTAGTGAAGACGTAGGGGTCTGCATTCGACTTATTCACATTCGCATTCTCTATCTGATGAAAATATAAATTATTGTATTTGGTTTTGGTATATTCAAAGGAAAACAATTATTTTCCTGGCTATACAGTGTCATTCATAAAGTCGACATCATGTGGGAAAAACTTTTATTAATGACTTATTTTGAAATTCGAGTTGGACGTTAAGTTTTGCTTCAAAGAAGATGAAAAATGGCTTACTCAATTGGGGTCACCTGACTTTCGCTACATGTCAAAAGTGACATTTTTTCAAATAAATCGCTGAAAGTAGGCTTATTTGTTCGAATATCGGAAAAGTTTACTTGAAAAAGTTGTTTCTATTTAAATTTTACTCATGTGACTCGTATTTCATCTTTCTATTACATTTTTTAGATTTCGATATTTTTTAAAAATTTTCGAAATTTCTGTAATATTAAAAAAATTGTAAATTCGATAAAACTACTTCATACCAGTAGTTTCGTCATGCTACTTACTTTCAATCACTAATTATAACTAATTATCGACAAAAATATGATTTTCTTCATAAAATGATAATCTCCGCTTCAAAATTCTGTTATGTTTGATGCAAACATAACATCAAAATTCTGTTATGTTTGAGTCGAGCATTCAGAAACGAAATTCATTCAGATTTATATTTCAGTACTGAAAAGATCAGTTTAAATGAATTTTGTTTCTAAATGCTTGACGATATATCAACTTTGCATCAAACATAACAGAATTTGGAAGCGGGTAGAAAATCATATTTCTGTCCATAATCAGTGATAATAAGTAATTGAAAGTAAGTAGCATGAAAAAGCTACTGGCATGAAGTAGTTTCGTGGAATTAACAATTCTCCAAATATTACAGAAATTTCGAAAAATTAAAAGAAAAATCAAAATCTGAAAGTTGCAATAGAAAGATCAAATTCGAGAAGCATGTGTAAAATTGAAATAGAAACAACTTTTTCAAGTGAACTTTTTCGATATTCGAACAAATAAGCCTACTTTCAGCGATTAATTATGAAAAAATGTCACTTTTGACATGTAGTGAAAGTCACGTGACCCTGATTGAGTAGGCCATTCTCCATCTTTTTTGAAGCAAAACTTAACGTCCAACTCGAATTCCAAAATAAGTCATTGATAAAAGTTTTTCCCATATGATGCCGACTTTATGAATGACACTGTATGCCACGACGAACATTGAATTACATCCATTGAACACACACGTTAAAAATTCGAAAATTAAAATTTTCTCAAGTTGAGAACTTGCATTCTCCATCCTGTCTATCCGATAAAAATATACCGGGTAATGGGCGAGTGGACTGACGATGAATTAATTTTTGAAGTCTATGCGTTGTTCAAAATCTTTGAATTTCAGAGCTCATTTCATACGTAACGTCATCGCCGCCATTTGGCGATACGTCGAATAAATGGTGATGTCAGTTTAAATGCTATTTCGTTATTGGTCAGATTATCTTCCATTCCCACTCATGGAGCAAGGTTGTCAAGTCACCAATTATAATCAAGTTATCATAAATATGTTTGAGTCCTGTCGTTTAATAAAACATAATTTATTTATTTATTTATTTATTTATTTATCCATACACCACTCAACAGAAACCATTTACAGAGTGGGAGAATCACAAAAACAAGATAATATACAGGATGGGTATCAGACATTCTATATATTGGTGAATTCAGTAACACATTAGTTCGGGGGGTTGGCAGATAGAAGAAATCTGGACATAGGACATTCTAGTTCATTCTTGACTTTTTCGAGCTACCAGCATGTCCAAATATTTCTTATTCTCCATAACAAAAATCATGTGAATGATGGAAACTTGGCAACATTGTGCATGTCCTTTACTGTGCATGTCCTTTACTGTGAATTAATATAATTATTATTAACACAAATTTATTATAAGCAATAAGCCACATATCACAAGGAAACATTTTGAGACAATTGAATATTTATTGCTAATCCGGAATATTACCAATACTCAACTGAGAATATATGAATTATTGAATAACCAATATTTCTGAAGTTCCCAATCGTATTTCAACGCATGGCAACTGTGCTATGATCTGCCCCTACTTACGAAATCGTGGCGTCAGTTTTTACTGGTAAATTTCTAGACGTTTGAAAATTACCGTCGCACCTAACAATCGACCGAAAAATTTTTCGAAAATATGAAATTGTAAGTTATTTTAGTGATGATTCTGTATAAGAAAAAAAAAATTAGTCCACTCGCCTGTTTAAATTCGAGGGCCACCATTGGTAAATAATTTTAATTTTTTTCTGGCGTTATTTGTTGGAGAATATCAGAATTACATACATAGCCATTAGTTGACGCCCTGCGTTAATTTATAATATAAGCTGAACACTTTTTTCATTATTAGTTCATTTTGTTTTTTTCTTATCATATAAAATGTCGATTTTCATTTGGTGTTGAAATATCAATTCATTCACACTGAGAATAGTCATAAAAGATTACTCTCATTCTTTATCATATCCATCCTCCCTCGTAGAGTCAGAATTCTTTAATAATTCGGCCGACCTGGAAAATGTCAATAGGACGGACGTTCGGATAAGTATCAACTCGTGACTCGTTAACTCTCTCAACACCCTCACACCACTTTTCCTGCAATACGATGACATTTTCAATTTGGCACCCATAAGAAGAAATAAAGTTGATGATGCTGGCGTGATGACGAAACGCCGGATAGTTAATCTGATAATATCATCGTATAGCAGGGCAAAAGTGGTAAATGTGCTATCAATTTTGATATTCTTTAACAAATAACGCAAGAAAAAAATAAAAATTGTTAACCGAAATTTCTGTTTTTTCCGAATATCTCCGGAAATACTCGGAATTTAAAAATGTTCTCGACTGCATATTTTTAAAAGCACATAAATGCGCAACTTTTGTTGAACACCTAAGATGAGGATTATGAAAATGAAAATCTTATACACCATTGCACTTTTGGAGTTCCCTTCGTGAGTGGATTGTCAGCTAGCCTAGTGCAACTGATGAGGCTTGGCAAGCCGAAACAGTCTGCTTCACATCAGCTGACCATCGATTCACGATATTCCCCTAGAACCCCACTGTCCTTAAATTTTAGGTATCTCACTATACAGGGTGTTTCACAGGTAAAGGGAAATATTTCAATGGTAGATAGGGGTCACTAAGGTGGTTCTGAAAATACCATATTTGATAGGTCTTAGAGTCTTCATAACGGAGATACAGGGCGATTTATCGATTTCGAATAATTATTCATTCGTCTATTGACCTACCTACCCAGTATTTTTTTCTCAAATTTGGTAAGGAGCTTATACTTGGGACGTTAAATTCATTCACCTATCGGACGGAGTGATAATCCAGGTTCGGCTTCAGGAAAAATTTACATTTATTCGAAATATTAAAATAACACACTGTATTTAATAATTACCACAGTACATCGAAAGAATTGTGAAGAGGAGGAAAAACTGAATTGGGTTTGATGCTTTTTGTTTTCCCGCCACAATTCTCATCGTAACAATCATAAACAGAAAGTTGAAAGTATGTCAATTTGACGAGTATTGAAATTATGAAACCAGTGTCAATTATGATTATTCGATATTTCAGTCAAAAAATCGCTCTTTACAGTCTTTATAACGGAGATACAGGGTGAATTATCGGTATTGAATAATTATTCACTCGTCCGTAAGTATTAAACTACCCAGTAACATTTTCTCAAATTTGGTATGTAGCTTACTTGGGACGATGGATTCATTAACTTATCAGGCGGAATGGAAATAATACTAAAAAATTATTATTCGATAATTCACCCTGTATCTCTGTTATAAAGACTATGAGACTTTTCCTGAAACTGAACCTGTATTTCCATTCTGCCTGATAGGTCAATGAATCCATCGTCCCAAGTAAGCTCAATAAGAAATTTGAGGAAATATTACTGCGATGGGTAGTTCAATACTCATGGACGAGTGAATAATTATTCGAAACCGATAATTCACCCTGTATCTCTGTTATAAAGACTGTGAGACTGAGTAAGTTCTTTCGAACGATCATTTAACAAGAATATATCAAATAATCATAATTGAAAGTGGTTTCATAATTTTAATACTCTTCAAATTGACATACTTTTAGTTTTCTGTTTATGATTGTTACGATTAGAATTGTTGGCGGGAAAACAAAAAGCATCAAATCCATATCAGTTTTTCCTCCTCTTCACGATTCCTTTGATGAACTCTGTCAATTATTACATACAGTGTGTTATTTTAATATTTCGAATAAATGTAAATTTTTCCTGAAGCCGAACCTGGATTTTCACTTCGCCCGATAGGTGAATAAATTCAACGTCCCAAGTATAAGGTCTATACCAAATTTTAGAAAAATATACTGGGTAGTTCAATACTTATAGACGAATGAATAATTATTCGAAATCGATAAATCGCCCTATATCTCCGTTATGGAGACTGTGAGACCTATCAAATATGGTATTTTCAGAACCACCTTGGTGACCCCTATGTACCATTGAAATATTTCCCTTAATCTGTGAAACACCCTGTATAGTATGTCTGAATTCAATCGGTGTTGTACAACTCGTTCGTTGATTCGCCAAATATACAAATACACCACAAAAAGTTTAGTACTTCACTTCCATATGAAATAATATACTATTCTTGTTCCAGATTGAAGCCGAGGGTAAACCCATAACGAATCAAAAAAGTTCTGGGCGCTGTTGGTTGTTTGCAGCCATGAATGTTATTCGTTTACCTTTCATCAAGCATTTCAATTTAGAAGATTTCGAATTTTCTCAGGGATATTTGTTCTTTTGGGACAAGATCGAGAGGTGCAATTTTTTCTTGCACAACGTTGTTGAGACAGGAAGAAGAAATGAGGCAGTAGATGGACGACTTGTATCATTTTTGTTGAATGTAAGTTGAAACCTCATTATCGGTTAGCTAAGTTTATTATTGGTTCATCAATTATAAAACAAATTTTCGCCCTATAGAAACACATACTTGGGTATAATCGAGTGGTCTGCATACTTGCTTGAGTTGTTTCACATTCAATTTCAATTGGCATTAAATCAAAATGCGATTCATAGACTGGAGATGTTGAAATATGAATAGTTGAAAATGAATTTAAAAGTTTTTATCGTATTATTTATTGGTCGTAAAATGGTGTATGCAATGATCATATGATAGTGTTATTGAATACATGATCATTGCATGAAATACTATTGTTACGTTCTTTGTGTGCAGAAGCGAACACTACACTATTTATTTCCGAACTGATTTATATCAATTGAAAGAACACTAATTTATAACAAACTTTATCTTGAACGATTTATATCACGCGGTATATGACTGTCTCTTTGACACTCGCTACTTGTCTGACTGACGGCAACTGTCCGGTCATCCTTATATGTATATCACTAGCTCACCCGGCAAACGTTGTTTTGCCATAAACATTATTTCTAGAAAAAAACTTTTTAGATAAATATTCATCAAAAAACTTTTTTCAACTTATTTCTACTTCTTTTTGGTTGGGCTATCCATAAAAGCGGGATTCTTTAGTTTTTCAAACCATTCTATTTATTTTCTACTTCATTTTAGTTCGGCACACTATATCTCTTGATTTTTTTCAAAGAACTCTTCATTTTCCACTCTTATTTTTAGTTTGGCTATCTATTGTTTCATTAATATTTCAAACTACTATTTTTATTTTCTACTCCTTTTTAGTTCGACAATCCATCTCGTTTTTTAAACTATACTATCAATTTTCTACTGCTATTCAGTTTGGCCCCAAGTTTGGCTATCCCTAAAGGCGTGTTTCATCATAGTTTTTCAAACTACTATCTATTACAAAGCTCTTTCGCCATATTGGATCCGCCATCTTGAATTTCACAATTTTAAAGAATAAAGGCACCTCGAAAACCCCCAGATTTAAATTTCGAATAGAATCGGATCATAATTACAAAACTCGTCCGCCATATTGGATCTATCATCTTCAATTTTCTAATTTTGATGAAAGAATCATAATCTCCGACCCCAAAATCCCCCAGATACAAATTTTGAATCGGATCATAGTTACAAAACTTGTGCACCATATTGTATCTGCCATCTTTGATTTTTAAATTTTGATGAAATAATCATTATCTCCGACTTCAAAAACCCCCAGATATCAAATTTGAATAGAATCTGATCATAATTAAAAAACTCGTCCTCCATAATAAATCCGCCATTTTGAATTTCCTAATTTTGACCATGGGATCATAATCTCCAAACTCGAAAACCCCCAGTTCCCAATTTTGATAGCTGAACATAATTACGAAAGTCTTCCGCCATATTGGATCCGACATCTTGAATTTCAAAATTCTGACGAAAGAATTATAATCTCCGACCCAGAAAACGCCCAGATACCGATTTCGAATAGAATCGGATCATAGTTACAAGACTAGTCCGCCATCTTGAATTTTCAAATTTTGTCGCCGCGACACATATTGGGGGTTGGGAAATACGCTATTACATGTTAGAATCATTGGGATGTTCGAGAACAATTCGGGACGCGTGTTACAGGGGAGTATCAATACAGTAATATGAACAAAGTGTTCATGATATCTCTTGTGGAATGATAATTTATTCTTGTCCAGAAAAGTAGTTCTGTTGATTATCAAAATGAAAATGTCAAGTATTTTCATTATTAGAATCTGTTTACAACTAGGTACTTATTCATTTCAAATATTCACTTGATATTCATTTTCTATCATTTGTATTTATTATGGAATAAAAAAATATATTGACCTTTAGACTTGACATTCAAATTTATTCAAAGTATTGTTTTATCTTATCAGTTAAATAGTCTAATCTTGCAGTATACTAAAATTTTCAACAAATCGTTTTTGTACTGATAAACCCAATAGTTCAAGCAGTGGTGTATATAACACCCTATAAGTTTCTTATTTGAAGTAACGCTCTTTTATATATTTTGAATGGGGTATACTAATATTTATAAATGTCTCAGCTTCATTATTTGCTCCAATTTTAGCAATATTATCCATTTTACTCCTCTCTTTCTCTATTTTTCAATTTTCTCTCTTTCGTTTCTTTCCACCCATAATCTGAATATTTCCATGATATGTGGCGCTGTCACATTCTGAAGCAGAGTGCCTGTTGTTCCGGATTGCTTATACAGGGTGTTTCATAAAAACCTGACCCCCTTACTAGGGTAGGTGCACTGCAAAATAAGTTGGGTTTACTCAGTAATAAAATTTAGTTACGGCATCCGTTATCAAGATACAAGGTGTTGAAAAAATGATTTTTTTACACATTTTTCAAGATTATGTCGAAACTACTGGCAACATCGTGATGAAATTGTGTAAGGATATTTCTTGTAATCTGACACTTCGCATGCATTTGTATTTATATCTGACTCTCATAGAGGGCGCTAGTTACACGGTTCGTACCGAGTATTTTTGAACATAACTTTTTTGAGGTTAGATTTTTCAATCCAAATTTGATGTGAACTTGAACATCATTCAATTTCACACCAAAAAGATACTCTTGGTAAAACTTGATACTGTGTTCCGTTTTCGGAATATTTCGATTTGAAAATGATGAAGTGGTAACTGTTGCTGGTATAAATCTATGTAATAGGGCGAGTATTATGAAAAATTATCACCTATTTATTGAAAACCGAAAACAACAATACATTTCTGATGCTAAACTTATTGATTCAACAATGAATCACAAGAATAACATCCAAAAAGATTTGACTAAGAACATGGATTACACAGTTTTGTTGTATCTTGAGCAGAAAGTCTAAGCTACATAGGTAAATTCACATCAAGAGTTGTAAGACATAATTGAACATCACTTGAATGACCTAACAGCTGATCCTCAACTGTTTAGAAGAATAATACATTCTTAAGAAAAGAATATGGAATCGTGTATTCCTCGAAACGTAGGACATTTTGAACACTTACTCTAACTGATTCAATATTTCATGTTTCTAGTCAAATATCTCTTAATTTTCTACTTATGATTCTTTGTTCCATCAATAACTTCAGCACAAGAATGATTTTATTGTTTTTGAAACTGAATAAATAGGTAATTGAACTCAATAAAATTCAATTTATACCAGCATCAATACTACCCCAATATTTTCAAATCGAAATATTCCGAAAACGGAACATAGTATCGAGTTTTACCAAGAGTTTCTTTTTGGTGTAAAATTGAATGAGGTTCAAGTTCATATCATATTTGGATTGAAAAATCTGACCTCAAAAAAAGTTATGTTCTAAACTACTCGGAACGAACCGTGTAACTACCGCCCTCTATGAGAGTCAGATATAAAAACAAATTCATGCGATGTGTCAGATTTCGAGAAACATCCGTACAAAATTTCATCACAATGTTGCCAGTAGTATCGACATAATCGTGAAAAATGTGTAAAAAAATCATTTTTTCAACACCTTGTATCATGAAAACGGATACCGTTACGACATTTTTTCACTGAACAAACCCAACTTATTTTGCAGTGTTCTACCTACCCTAGCGAGGGGGTCAGGTTTTTTTGAAACACCCTGTATACTTTTTTTTTTCATTTTGGTGAACACTACAAGTATTATTAACCTTAATCATGAACTAAATATGTCATTATGAACACTTCAATCAATGATTCTATGAAGAAATTATATCCGATACGTTTAATTGCGCGACTATAAACATATATTGACATAAATTACAAACCTATTATTGTAGACATCTCTTGAACATTTTTTCAATAAATTATTATTGAAGAATTGAGTAAGGTGTGCCACGCATGTTTTTTTTATCGCTTGGAGCGCACGAAAGGGAATCCCTATAATCTTCGAAGAACATCATGAGTAGGTACCTATAAATAATATAATAAAGTGCCGTTCGACATATTTCGAGGTTGACAACGAAAGAATGTGCTGTGCTGTAGTGATGGAATGATAGCAGAGATTTCTGAAGAATATTTCCCGTGAAAGTATCTATATAAAAACGAAGTTTCGCCGACTTTCCTACGGAGTCAAAGAGTTAGTGAGTGTGGCATCACCCACCAGGCGAATGGCTCTTCTCTGGATGGAATCTAACAGCATCAGCGTATGTTTGGGTGCTGAATCCCATATGTGGGAACAGTGTTCTAGAACATGCCGTACTTGTGCTTTGTAGATCATAGGAAGATGTTGAGGTGTAAAGTAACCTTTCGCACAACAGTTTTTGTGAAGCAGCCTTTGCTATGGATCTGACATGATTATTCCATGCTGATGGAAATACCGAGCATAGATATAGTGGACTTGGTGAGAATGGTGGTACCACACATTGATTGAATGAAATGTTGTTTCTAAGAATCATAAAACAACTGACACTCGTAACTCAAGTCAAGGCTATACAAAAGTAGATCAAAGTGCTTACACTGTATTGGTCATCATATTATTTCAGTCTGGTACTCATAAAACTCTGGTACCAAACCAAGCTGATAACTTTACCAAGTATACAGTTTATACCACACTGACCAGGAATATTTAGTTGAAATAGAGTCATTAGTCAGCTAACCAAGACACGGTATAAACGGGGCCATTATTGATTATTTTCAAGGCAACTCCTAAATGCTGTTAATACCAGTTAGTTCTTGGTACGGAATATTTGTCTCGTCTCAGAACGTGGCTTGAATTTTTGTCGACTCCTGCAGTTCCACTCAAATCAGACGTGATGGGTTTTGGAGTCTGTCCTGAGCATTTAAGTTTTTTCACATCTACGGTATTGTCCAACTACACATTTTTTTGTTTTTATATATCACATCCATTACTATTTCTGCAGCTCATTCTATGCTCATGCCTATAATTCTCATTTCCTTCATGAATATGTACTTCTTGATCTAAGAGATCTTGAGTCTCGAGTACTAG